GGCTTAGCGCCGCTCGTGCTCCCTGGGCGGTGGGCTCCCTTCCCGCGGGCCGTGGGAGAGGACAGACCCAGGGTGGTGGTGGGGGGCGGGCGCCGTTCCAGCCGTCTGCCGGCGCCCAGATGTGCCACGAGGCTCTTCCCTCCCCCGCTTGGCTCCAGGATCGTCCGGCTGCAGGATGAGCTGGTCACGCTGCGCCTGGAATGCACCAACCTCTACCGGAAGGGGCACTTCTCCACCCTGGAGCTGGTGCGCCCGTCCACCCTGCCCCTGCCTCGCGGGAAGGCCGAGCCCTTGAGCAAGGGCACCCACACGTCCTCGGCCGCCTGGTTCCGGAAGCCCATGACCCGGGCCGAGCTGCTGGCCATCTCCTCCTCCGAAGACGAAGGCAACCTCCGCTTCGTGTACGAGCTGCTGTCGTGGGTGGAAGAGATGCAGGTGGGTGCCTGGCCTGGCCTTTGGGCCGCTCGGGGAGCCGGAGGCAGGGCGTCCGACGGAGGCAGTACCGGAGCTGGGAGCACCGAGGCTAGCGGGCTGGTGGGGAGCCGGAGGCAGGGCGTCCGACGGAGGCAGTACCGGAGCTGGGAGCACCGAGGCTAGCGGGCTGGTGGGGAGCCGGAGGCAGGGCGTCCGACGGAGGCAGTACCGGAGCTGGGAGCACCGAGGCTAGCGGGCTGGTGGGGAGCCGGAGGCAGGGCGTCCGACGGAGGCAGTACCGGAGCTGGGAGCACCGAGGCTAGCGGGCTGGTGGGGAGCCGGAGGCAGGGCGTCCGACGGAGGCAGTACCGGAGCTGGGAGCACCGAGGCTAGCGGGCTGGTGGGGAGCCGGAGGCAGGGCGTCCGACGGAGGCAGTACCGGAGCTGGGAGCACCGAGGCTAGCGGGCTGGTGGGGAGCCGGAGGCAGGGCGTCCGACGGAGGCAGTACCGGAGCTGGGAGCACCGAGGCTAGCGGGCTGGTGGGGAGCCGGAGGCAGGGCGTCCGACGGAGGCAGTACCGGAGCTGGGAGCACCGAGGCTAGCGGGCTGGTGGGGAGCCGGAGGCAGGGCGTCCGACGGAGGCAGTACCGGAGCTGGGAGCACCGAGGCTAGCGGGCTGGTGGGGAGCCGGAGGCAGGGCGTCCGACGGAGGCAGTACCGGAGCTGGGAGCACCGAGGCTAGCGGGCTGGTGGGGAGCCGGAGGCAGGGCGTCCGACGGAGGCAGTACCGGAGCTGGGAGCACCGAGGCTAGCGGGCTGGTGGGGAGCCGGAGGCAGGGCGTCCGACGGAGGCAGTACCGGAGCTGGGAGCACCGAGGCTAGCGGGCTGGTGGGGAGCCGGAGGCAGGGCGTCCGACGGAGGCAGTACCGGAGCTGGGAGCACCGAGGCTAGCGGGCTGGTGGGGAGCCGGAGGCAGGGCGTCCGACGGAGGCAGTACCGGAGCTGGGAGCACCGAGGCTAGCGGGCTGGTGGGGAGCCGGAGGCAGGGCGTCCGACGGAGGCAGTACCGGAGCTGGGAGCACCGAGGCTAGCGGGCTGGTGGGGAGCCGGAGGCAGGGCGTCCGACGGAGGCAGTACCGGAGCTGGGAGCACCGAGGCTAGCGGGCTGGTGGGGAGCCGGAGGCAGGGCGTCCGACGGAGGCAGTACCGGAGCTGGGAGCACCGAGGCTAGCGGGCTGGTGGGGAGCCGGAGGCAGGGCGTCCGACGGAGGCAGTACCGGAGCTGGGAGCACCGAGGCTAGCGGGCTGGTGGGGAGCCGGAGGCAGGGCGTCCGACGGAGGCAGTACCGGAGCTGGGAGCACCGAGGCTAGCGGGCTGGTGGGGAGCCGGAGGCAGGGCGTCCGACGGAGGCAGTACCGGAGCTGGGAGCACCGAGGCTAGCGGGCTGGTGGGGAGCCGGAGGCAGGGCGTCCGACGGAGGCAGTACCGGAGCTGGGAGCACCGAGGCTAGCGGGCTGGTGGGGAGCCGGAGGCAGGGCGTCCGACGGAGGCAGTACCGGAGCTGGGAGCACCGAGGCTAGCGGGCTGGTGGGGAGCCGGAGGCAGGGCGTCCGACGGAGGCAGTACCGGAGCTGGGAGCACCGAGGCTAGCGGGCTGGTGGGGAGCCGGAGGCAGGGCGTCCGACGGAGGCAGTACCGGAGCTGGGAGCACCGAGGCTAGCGGGCTGGTGGGGAGCCGGAGGCAGGGCGTCCGACGGAGGCAGTACCGGAGCTGGGAGCACCGAGGCTAGCGGGCTGGTGGGGAGCCGGAGGCAGGGCGTCCGACGGAGGCAGTACCGGAGCTGGGAGCACCGAGGCTAGCGGGCTGGTGGGGAGCCGGAGGCAGGGCGTCCGACGGAGGCAGTACCGGAGCTGGGAGCACCGAGGCTAGCGGGCTGGTGGGGAGCCGGAGGCAGGGCGTCCGACGGAGGCAGTACCGGAGCTGGGAGCACCGAGGCTAGCGGGCTGGTGGGGAGCCGGAGGCAGGGCGTCCGACGGAGGCAGTACCGGAGCTGGGAGCACCGAGGCTAGCGGGCTGGTGGGGAGCCGGAGGCAGGGCGTCCGACGGAGGCAGTACCGGAGCTGGGAGCACCGAGGCTAGCGGGCTGGTGGGGAGCCGGAGGCAGGGCGTCCGACGGAGGCAGTACCGGAGCTGGGAGCACCGAGGCTAGCGGGCTGGTGGGGAGCCGGAGGCAGGGCGTCCGACGGAGGCAGTACCGGAGCTGGGAGCACCGAGGCTAGCGGGCTGGTGGGGAGCCGGAGGCAGGGCGTCCGACGGAGGCAGTACCGGAGCTGGGAGCACCGAGGCTAGCGGGCTGGTGGGGAGCCGGAGGCAGGGCGTCCGACGGAGGCAGTACCGGAGCTGGGAGCACCGAGGCTAGCGGGCTGGTGGGGAGCCGGAGGCAGGGCGTCCGACGGAGGCAGTACCGGAGCTGGGAGCACCGAGGCTAGCGGGCTGGTGGGGAGCCGGAGGCAGGGCGTCCGACGGAGGCAGTACCGGAGCTGGGAGCACCGAGGCTAGCGGGCTGGTGGGGAGCCGGAGGCAGGGCGTCCGACGGAGGCAGTACCGGAGCTGGGAGCACCGAGGCTAGCGGGCTGGTGGGGAGCCGGAGGCAGGGCGTCCGACGGAGGCAGTACCGGAGCTGGGAGCACCGAGGCTAGCGGGCTGGTGGGGAGCCGGAGGCAGGGCGTCCGACGGAGGCAGTACCGGAGCTGGGAGCACCGAGGCTAGCGGGCTGGTGGGGAGCCGGAGGCAGGGCGTCCGACGGAGGCAGTACCGGAGCTGGGAGCACCGAGGCTAGCGGGCTGGTGGGGAGCCGGAGGCAGGGCGTCCGACGGAGGCAGTACCGGAGCTGGGAGCACCGAGGCTAGCGGGCTGGTGGGGAGCCGGAGGCAGGGCGTCCGACGGAGGCAGTACCGGAGCTGGGAGCACCGAGGCTAGCGGGCTGGTGGGGAGCCGGAGGCAGGGCGTCCGACGGAGGCAGTACCGGAGCTGGGAGCACCGAGGCTAGCGGGCTGGTGGGGAGCCGGAGGCAGGGCGTCCGACGGAGGCAGTACCGGAGCTGGGAGCACCGCGGGCTGGTGGGGAGCCGGAGGCAGGGGGGCTGAGGGTGCCGGACCAGAAGGTCCAACCTGTAGAGGGTCCGTACTCTGCTGGACCGGCAGTCGAGAGAAGAGCAGACGCGGCGTGTTGCTCAGAGCTCAGAGGAACCCCGTTTTGGGCCCCCTGGGTCCTTTTGGCGAGGTTGGCACGTTGGCGCCGGCGGCCCCCTGCGCTCACTGGCCTTGCTTGGCTCGGATGGCGTGAGAAACGTTTCCCCGTTGGCAGCAACTCGTCACCGCTCCTGCTGTGGCCCATGGGGGGCTGACACCCTTTCCGTCCCTCTTCCTGCGCCGCGCCCGCCGCCTCCCGAGAGAGAGAGAGAGAGAGAGAGAGAGAGAGAGAGAGAGAGCAGTCCGGGAAGCCTCCTTTCACGGCTCATGAGGGGGGCGGGTCCTTTTGCCGTCTGCAGGAAACGTCGAGCTCCCGATTGCGGCACCTCCAGAGCCTCTACAGCTTCGTGTCGCGGGCCACGGCGGAGATCATCTGGCTGAACGAGAAGGAGGAAGAGGAGCTGGCCTACGACTGGAGCGACAACAACCCCAACATGGCAGCCAAAAGGAATTACTTCTCCGTGAGTCGTGGGCAGGCGCGGGGCACCCGTCGGACCAGGGCTGCCTGGTCACAAGCCCCCCTGTGTAGGCCGGGATGGCTTCCAAAAGGCCGTGACGCCTCCAAGGGGCCGTCCAGCTCCCCGGTGTCGGGCTCCCCAGGATTCGGAGCGCCGGTCGCTCTCTGGATCCTGCTGGCGAAACGCGGCGGGAGCAGGGAGAAAAGCAGAATCCCCTAGGCGGGTCGAGGGGGTGTAACGGGGGGCAGGCTGGAGCTGGGGCTGAGAATTCCCGGCCTTCCTGGCACCTCGGCGCTGAGTGCTGGTTCCCCGCACGCCGTTCTGTCTGGATCCTTTCCAAATCACGCACGTGCCAAGGCACAAATCCCCGGGGGAGGCTGAGCAGGCGTTCCCCTCGCAGGCCGTGGCAGTGAGATGCTGCCGTTCACACCCAACAGGCAGGGCCGGCCGTACGGGTCATTGCAGGCGGT